GGGGCCGATCCTGCGATTGGAGGGTGATGGGGGTCAACGCCTGAGGGCTCCCAGTATGTGAGAGGGGGCAGGCTGGGCTGAGGGACACTCCCCCGCCACACACACACCAAGTGCACGAATTTCGTGCACCGGGCCCCTAGTACAATAATAAAGATAGTAATGACAAACTCTTATGGAGTTTACTATGTATAGGCACCATTCTAATTGCTTCACAAACACTATCTTATTCATCATTACAACAACCCAATGAAAATTGAGTTATTTTTAATTTCTTTTTTGTAGATGAGAAGACTAAGGCACAGAGAGGTTAAGTAACTTTCCCATAGTCACATGGCTAGCAAGTGGCAGAGCCATGATTTGAAGCCAGGCCATCTTAACCACTGTGTTATACTGCACATGTAATTTGTTATAAACTGTACAGAACTCTACATTATACATGAATTTGTTTCATTATTAACTCTCACATGCTTCCCATATTTGTCCCTGATACAGCCTTTCTACCATCGCTGTTGTCTCATATCATGATTGTCTCATTTCCTGCTTAACTTTGTCTACGTTAAAACAGATCATAAAGATGTAGAACCTGGTAGGCTTGGGTTTCCATCCTATTTTCACCTTAGATGAACTATTTAAGATCTGAACCTCAGTTTTCTATTCTGTAAAATTACTAGATAACATAAGAATGGAGAGGTGTAAAGATGAAAGAAAAATGCAAAGCCCAAGGCCCCATAAATAACAGCTTAATGAAGTTCTTCAAATCATTCCTCTGTGGAAGATTTGGGACTGACACTGCAGAGCTCAGAAACTAGGGAAGAAGGACTTGTCACCACAAAACGTGGAAATGCAGGACATGTGAAAATATCGACAGACATGCAAACCCTTGTCCTTCTTGTAAACGCCTTTCCTTGCATAAGCCCTTGGCCTGTCAGCCCAGGCCTAGAATTGTGAATGAGCTAGCTGCTCTTCTCTCAGCAGAGGTGTATGCTAGACAGTGTCTCCCTTTGAGTGCAAATCAATACTGCTTACAAATCATATCTAAAGGCCAAAGCAAAGGAATGCTTGCGAATTACTTGGGTGCTCTACCAACATCACCAACGTGAATTAAAAGAATCATCAAACCTCCTTGGCGGGTATTTGGTACAAATCAGTAAAAAATTGTGACTAGCCCTAACCGGTTTGGCTCAGTGGATAGAGCGTCAGCCTGCGGACTCAAGGGTCCCAGGTTCAATTCCGGTCAAGGGCATGTACCTGGTTGCGGGCACATCCCCAGTGGGGAGTGTGCAGGAGGCAGCTGATCGATGTTTCTCTCTCATCGATGTTTCTAACTCTCTATCCCTCTCCCTTCCTCTCTGTAAAAAATCAATAAAATGTATTTAAAACAAATTGTGACTAGAAGAATTTCAGTGAAGAAATGCACCTTTACTTGCAAGAACACACCATCAAGAACGTGCGGAAATGAGGACCTCGCACACTGCTGTTGGATGGGAAAGTAGTCTGGCTGCTTTGGAGAAAGTTGGGCAATCTCTGGTAACATCCTAGAAGCCAGGTGACCCAGAAACACCACAGATCATTATCCATCCTAGAAATCTTACACACATGCACTTGGAGATGTGTCCAAGAATGGTTCAGGCATAATGGAGTAAAAAGGTAAATAATTAAACACAATGTAGACATCCACCAATAGGGAAACGGCTTCTTAAATTATGAAACAGCCATTTATCAAAGAGTCTGCAATAGTTGAAAAGGATGACGTGGAGGGAAAATGAGGTAAGTCAACATGAACTCATATGGATGCTCCCCTAGACACATGGCAGAGCAAGCCATTCCAGGTATCCTTTATGTAAAACAGAACAACAGCATGAAACAAAACAGAAACACTGCATGTTTTCTGCAAGTATATATGTGCACTTAAATATATAGAAAGTGGTCTGAAAAGACAAAGCCCAAATTGATAAGAGTGAGGAAGGAGTGAATGTGACTTACTTTTATATGTAACTAGAGGCCCAGTGCATGAAAATCATGCAGTTGGTGGGGGGAGGGTCCCCTAAGTTCAGCCTGCACCCTCTCGCAGTCTGGGAGTCCTCAGGGGAAGTCTGACTGATGGCCTAGGTCCTCCCTATGGGCCTAAGCCGTCAGTTGGACATCCTTAGTGCTGCCACGAAAGTGGGAGAGGCTCCCGCCATCGCTGGTGCACTTGCTAGCATTGAGCCCAGCTTCTGGCTGAGTGGCGCTCCTCCTGTGGGAGTGCACTGACCACCAGGGGGCAGTTCCTGCATTGAGCATCTGCCCCCTGGTGGTCAGTGCATATCATAGCGATCAGTCGTTCTGCCTTTTGGTTGATTTGCATATTAGCCTTTTATTATATAGGACTGTTTTGTTGTTGTTAATCCTCCATTGATTTTTAGGGAGAGTAGAAGAGAGAGGGAAAGACAGAGAGAAATATCGATTGAGAGAAACACATCGATTGGTTGCCTCCTGCACACGCCCCAACCAGGGTCCAGGCTGGAAAGGAACCTGCAACCAAGGTGCGTGCCCTTGACCAGAATCTAACCCAAGACCCTTTGGTCCCCAGGCCAACACTCCATCCACTGAGCCAAACCGGCTAGGGCTGTAATTCTTTTCAATGAGGACAAGGTAATTGTGTATTATGTATATAATTAATAAAATTATTTTAGAGGACTAACAAAAATCTATTCTTCCCTTCAGAGTTCCTTTGGGGGTCTACTTGATCAGCTAACTTGAATTTGTAACAAGCGTATTGCTTTTCCTGAGCATGGCCATTACAGCCTCATTAGACCCAGTAGCCAAAGGACATTCTCCTTGCAGGAGAGCCATTGCAGCCACAGCAGCTCTTACCACATCCACAGAAGAAATCATCATGGGCTCTTCCTCTGCACTGATGTTCCTCCAGCAATGGAAGCTTTATTACATTCCCATCACAGCCGACACCTTTCCGCAAGCTATCTTATCTCTTACGAAATCCTGTTACTGGCTTCTTCCCACATCACACTCTCTCACTGCAATCATCTCAACCCTGCAACTCGCCTTTCTCTGCCTCTGGAGGAGACGTCTCATGACAGTGTGACTTTGACTTTGACCAACTACTGACACCTAGAGCTAATTTACAGGAAACTCCTGTTATGAATGCCAACCTCTCACGCTTCACGGATGGTTCCTATTTAAGACGAAGGTGGTCTAAGCAACTGCACTGCCAACAGCCACTTCAGGTCCACAGGCTGAACTCTATGCCTCCACGGGAGCTCGCACTGTAGCAAATGGTAAAGCTGCAAACATTTACACTGACAGTCCCTACACCATTGGGGCCGCTCGTGATTTTGGTGTGATCTGGAAACAGAGAGGATTTCTAACCTCTGAGGTTCTCCAATAAGAATGGACTCTTTGTTAATAAACGACTAGTCACAGTCCAACTTCTCTATGCCTTGGCCATCATCAAAGTTCCTGGCCACTCAAAATTAGACTCAGAAGAAGCTAAAGGCAACAATTTGGCTGCTCAAGCAGCGAGGACTGCTGCCTTAACATCTTTCAAAACTAAGGCCCACATAGCCAACATTACTTATTTCCCGAAGGGAAATCTAAAATTCATTATCAAGGATGCTCAATCTAGGGCACCCTACAAGGAAAAGCTTGATTGAGCTGACAGTGGTTATAGTTTCAGTCCACTTACAATTTGCAGTATGCCCCAAACAGGAAATCCATCCTTCCAGAGTCCAGGAAAAGATCCCGGATAGAAATCACTCATGAGATAATCCACTGGGCAGCTAATAAACTTATAAGTTCCATGGACCAATACTAGTGAGGAGACATCTCAAGGGCCACCAAAGAGATACAATGACCTTGTACTGTATGTCCTAAGTATAATCCAGAAAAGACTATCTTTTCAGCCCCTGGACATTCTGACTTTCCCAAAGGACCTTTTAAAGCATGCCAAATGGATTTTATGCAGTTGCCTCCTTCCCGGAGTTGTAAATTTGTTCTTGTTATGGTTTGCATGTTTCCTCATTGGGTTAAAGCATTCCCTTGCCGACAAGCCACTGCTTTGGCAGTTGCAAAATATTATTAGGCAAGATCATACCCACTGGGGGCACACCTTCAGAACTACATAGTGACTGAGGAATGTACCGGGGTGGGCAAAAGTAGGTTTACAGTTGTGAGTACATGAAAACACGGAGTTTATTCTGGTTATTATTTATTTATTATTATATTGTTTATTATTGTTGTTGTTAACCTACTTTTGCCCACCCTTGTATTTTATGGGCTATGGGATGAAGTAGGTCTGTGAGGTTTGGCCTATTCAATAACATTTTCATTGTGCTTATCCTCCTCAGTCCTCTTGACTGATAGGAAGAACAAACGGCATTTTATAAGATCAATTGGCAAAATAGCTCCTTCCTCCTCTCTCTCTCGATTCTCCGTTTTGTTTTTTTCCCTACCTCACCACGCCCATTCTCTTCACTTTTCTTTAAAGGCTATGAAACTGAAATATATTACACATAATAATTATTTCTATATGTAAAATGAATCGTTTCATAGCCTCCGTTGTTACTTTTTCTGGCAACTAAATAGAACATTTCACACTGCTCTCCAGTGGAATAAAAGACATCAGTTTTTGTTTTCGTGTGATTCTCACTTGATGTCTCCATTTCATCATGGCCCTTGCTGGGAGGGAAGGGCCATGGGTGTGGGCACGGGGGCTCCTATCCCTGAACTAGACATTCATGCTCATTCAATGACTCCACTAGTCCTTGAGCCGCAGGATTTATTTTTACAGCTTCATAGCAATGTTTTTGTTTAGTGGCTATTGTTATAATCACCTATCTGCGTAAACTACCTGGTACTGACCCCGCCCTGTGACACAGGTTAACCAATCTGGCCAGTGACCGGAAGGGGAGCCCTGTGCTGTAGGGCACACAAGGGGGCAGCAAAAAGACAACTTTCTCTCTTTCCTCTCACACACACTACACATGCAAACTGTTCTGGTACGAAAAATATAATATGTTCATGGTAGAAAATGTAAAAAGACAATAAAGGATAAAAAAGGGGGAAAAAAGCACCCATAATCCCACTCTCAGAGA